GCCTGCTGCAACTCGGGGGTATGTCTCGCGTCGTTTGCCAGTGAAGACCGAGGCAAAACAATCATTGAGCACCTCACCCTTCTCCATGTCCTGGGAAACCAGCTCTCCCGTTTCCTTCTGCAGAGGGCCCGCATTTTCTCTGATCTTCCTGTTATCCCCTATGTACCTATGATATATATATTTTTATAGTAAAGCATATTAAATCTAAAAATATTAAGCTGGAGTTAGTGGTTTTACTTGGAATACTGCCATTCAGCCAGACACATACCTTTAAAGATAGAAAGGATAATGTTCCATTTTGACATGCTCCTCTAAGTCAGCCAAGTAGTTTTGGCCAACATTTTTTTAATATTATCTTCACATCTAGTCTCAAGAGGTTTTTCTCCGCAGGTGACCCTCCCCTCAGCTTTGTTAGTTTATCACCTACCACAACTTCAGCTGCAAGGGCACCTCAGCTGACGGTCAAGGGGAATTCCTCTGCCTCCCTGACTGTTTGCTGCCCCGTGTTCAAGCGAGACTGACAGGAAGCACTTGTCTAAGCTGATGAACATGAAATAGTTGATCTAGGTAAACAGCAAAATGAAATTCATGTCTTAACCATGTGCTACTGTACATCCTGTTTACATAGCTTTCAAGTATTTTCAATTATATTTAGTAAAGAGGGATTAGGAATATGCAGTGATAAACAAGGAGCACTGAATCTGTTGAGTTACTGTTCCTTTAATGACTTCAAGCAAAAGGAAAATGGTGTTTCCTTCCTCTCTAATGAGAGAATCATGATACTTACCCAAGTTCATACACAGTTTTATAAGAACTAAATGGTATGTTTCCCTCCTGAAATTTGTAAATTTTATCCATGCATGGGATAGCACAAGACTGTGTGCCTTTAGAAGAAATAATCAGTTTGCAGTGTCCAATAGAACAAAATAATTTCCACCATGTCAAGTATTAATTATCTTTATTTGTTCTAAAAACAGTAGGCTAAAATCCATCAGGAATCAGTAAAAATATCACAACTGTAACGTACAAAATCTCATAGTGACAAAAAAAAAAAAAAAACCCCAAAAAATCTTGTACCAAGTTAAATCTACAAGGTTTGGAGGAAGAGTCTAAGTATTTTCCAATTCTGAAAACAGGTCAGACGCATTCATGGAAGCAGTCCCTTTAAATAACACTAAGCATAAGAAATACATGTGCAAGCACACAGTGTATTAAGCTCTGAGAGTAAACAGAATGTGTTTTCTGTCAGAATATTGCAATCATTCAAATCCCAATCTCCAAACTCCAAACATTAAATCTCAGATTAATATATGTGGAGCAACAAGGACACCTTGAGGCAAGTTAGAAAAATGCAAACATTTCTATTCCGCATTGCTGTGGGAGGACCTACAGATACTCTCGAAGTCTGAATTCCTTGGAATTGCCACATGATGTAAATGTCAAGCTCTTCAAACTGTTTGGCAAAGTCCCATCAGTTCCACAGAGTATTATTAAAGCAGTGCTTGGTCAGCACTCTTGAAATGCTAGAATATATGCTTACCGACTGGGTTAATTCGCTTTCTAATGGTTTTGAAGACAGACCTGGTTTTGCAAGACACTCATCTTCTTGTTCTGAGGTGGTTTTCTCCTTGATATAGAGGTAAAAACATTTTCTTCTCACTGCTTAGCATAGTATTACACTGTACATATTTTTAAAAGAAAAAGTATAAAAATAGTGGAAAGGTTTCTGAAGTATTAAATGCACAAAAATTAAACTTTCACAGTTCTTTGACACTCTCACAAGTTTCAAGTATTCCTTCAATTTGTACCTTTGAAAAATTGACATAACAGTTAACATTTTCAAAAAATAAAAAATGATGGGAAGAGGAAGAAATCTTATACTCCTTATTTTAAGATTTTATGCACATGAAAAAGCGCAATTTTTTAGCATAGCCTCTAAGTCAGAACTGGAGTCGTGGGGCCATTTGTAGAGCTTTCTGTCCCCTTCGTGCCATCTGCAGCCTTAGAATCATCACACACTTCAGAAAGCTCATTTTCCTCTGGCTTTGATGGGTTAAGATCAATCGTGATCAAATCAGTTTCCTGATCTGTTGGTGGTACTTCATTACAAAATTCAACTTTTTCTTCCTGCTGGATGGTCTTTATTTGTCCATTCTGTGCAGGGTACATACTGGCAATGGTGTCATACAGAAATTGGTAATGTTCCTTAAATATGAAGGGAAGAGGTTAGTATGAATGGAATGCTCAGAGCCCAAGAATAAACCCATTCTTTTTCTGTTTTCCTAAATGTTGGAAATGTAACATGTAGTTGAACATGCAAGACTGCATATGAGGCAGCTGCAACAGTTTTTGGTGTAGAAAGTGCTGCTTGCATGGTTTATCCTGATTTAATGTGTATGCCATGTCTCTGTAACTACCTGCAGCAGATATTCCAAGTTGAGTCACGCAACTCTTGGTTCACAAAGTCCCAAAACAATGTATTTTGACTACCTTAGTTGAAAACAACACATACTGTAAGGAGTGCAGGAACGCCATCTAATCGCCTGCCCCATATCGATGACACCTAGTCCTGGTTTGTCAGTAAACACACAGTGTGTGCCACAAAGACACAATGTGAATTAAGGAAAACAAGTCGATGGCTGCTAGGCTGAAATGGAGTTAGCCTCCTCACTCCGCAGAAGTTAAGGGACACTGCGCACGTACATCCCTGAAGCAACTGCAGAAACACCAATTTATGCAATCTGTAATTTTATACTGTGTACCCTTCCACAAAGGTGTTACAGAATTGCAGCTCAGGACATCTCTCAGGCTCCTTCAGTCTTATCAGTAATGGCCAATTCCCAAGTAGTGGTGAGTGGCTCTGAATGTCCTGATTAGAATTAGTGTTCCCTATGCAGAAATGATGTGTACAGTTACCAGGATATTTGTGACCGTGATAAGTAATATCTTTTTTTCTGGTAATTTGTGAGATTTACTTACAAAGGTGGAGACCACTCCCAGCCTGGTGCGACGAAGAGCTTTTACTACTTGGAAAACATCTACTACTTCTTCTATTTCTGCGCTTTCCAAGAGTGTCATTAAAGCACAGAATACACCAGTCTGCTGTGATCCATCACTAGAAAAAGATGTAAAATACACGTGTAAATTTAAAGTGTAAAATCAGCAAGTTCTCTGACTAAATGTTAGTATTACTTCAAAGTCTACATAATGAATTATATATCCAAACAATTTTTTTACTGGACTGAAACTGTTACAATTCAGAATATCTGTAGGACACACACAAGAAATAGTTTATCTAGAGGCTACCTGGATCTCACGTGACCATTTGAGGGGTAAGAGAGAAATTAGAAGCTTCAGCCTTACAGTCTCAACAACTGTTAGCAGGATTATGGTCTGGTTTAGATGGTAAGAAAGGCTATTCCTAGAAATGGTCCTAAAAAAAGTGTACTGGAGCAAGAGCTGAACCTGAAAGTTCTGCCGGATCCTCATTAGTAATATGCTACTAGCACACCCTGACCTGCCATTTATTCTCAAAAAATGTGTTTGAGGCAAGAGCAGCTAGCTCTGACCACCTACTCCATGCCCAAGCTTGCCAAAGAGAAGTGTGCTCACTTTTCAGTACTACAATCAAAAAGGTCAAGCTTGTGCAATTCAAGGAATCTTCTAGGGAGACCAGAGTCTCCAGACACATGGAAAGGCTTGCGGGAAAAGACAGGCATCCAGAACTTAGAGATAGGTTAAGGCGTGTGCCAAATTCAGACCCACCTGCAGTGGATGATGAGTGGGACACTGCGGGTACTCCGCTTGTCCTCGGTGACTGGTCTGGCTGGGACTTTTTGTTTAAGGCTGAGAATCATGCTGACTAAATCTTTGGGGTTTTCCGGAACATCCAAGCCACTCCACTTGTGATACTGATACTGATACACCTTCTGTGTTTCTTTAGTCTGAAAAACAGAAGACTAAAATAAAGTTTCTCGTAATAAATCTATTACAGCTGATTTACAGAAGAAAAATTATATTCCTGAGGAACAGCATGGTGATGTGAGTTCTACCCCATGCATATGAGGTAGGTAGGCATCCAAGCTTTGTTCAAAGTACAAAAGACAGCTGATTTCCTGAGAATCTACTACCACCAACTCAGCAATTCACTGAATGGGAAATTTGAGCTAATTTATACCATTTATCATGATTGCTGGGCTGGAAGAGGAAAAATATTTCCATTTCTTAGAGCAGGAGGTAAGTGCAGTGGGAACTATCCCTTCTCTTTCTTCAGGCTAAGTTTATAACAGGGAAACAAATTTAAAAACTTCCTTTTGGAATTTGCAAAGAAAATTCTACCTTCAGATGCGTCACATCAAATGCACGTATGGTATAGCTAGGACAACAGTTGACATCTGTCATTTGGACTTCGATACCATCGTATGTTTGTTTTCCTTCTCCCCAGTACTGTGCACAGAGTTCCTAAAATGGATAAAAGTACAAGTCAGTGCTTACCTTTCAAACCTCCTTTTATCTTCCACAGGCACTTACAGAACGTATTGACTTTAAAGCAGCAGAACTGTCATGTTTTAAAAATATAGCACCATACACTCTTCCACACCCACCCCACCCCCAAAAAAAAAAAAATTAGAAAGTAAATTAAGAAGGTAAATAATATAAAAAATTTTACTGGAAATCCAAATTTCTCATCCTATGACACACTTAACTGGAGGAACGGAATGAGAGAGGGCAGGGCAGTGTTTTCTTTGCATGTAGAGGACCTTTAATATGTCAGTGTGGAGATGATGCCCTCACCTGATCTCCTTCTTGCAGCTCTGTCAGCATAACAATGACTTTGACTTTTCTTTGGAAGACCATTTGCCAGAAGTCAGGGATAGTTTCCTGCAGTGGTCCCTGTGTTGCAATCATGGCTTTCGGACCCCAGTAACCCTATAAAAAAAATGTTTAATATCTTTTTCTTAAATTCATTTTAAAGGTGGTTGTCAAGCAACAGAGCTCATTGTCATTTAAAGAATACCCGGCAAAATAAACTAATGAACCCTTCTGCTTATAGAGAAAATATGCCTATCACGGTGGACAATGGTCTTACAGGAATTCCACAGACCAAACGATATTAGACTCAATCCTTTTAGCAACAGTATAACTTCCAGGTTGAGAACAAGGGATACCCATGCTGCAATGGGTGCAACCTCATCTTGCCATTTTCTACAAAGCATATTAAGGAATAAAACATATAATTTTACACAGCTGTTTAATTTGACCACAAAGAAATGAAGCTCATACCACTCGAAGTTGGTGCACCAGTCAGTTCACACTGAGCTACCCAGAAGTAAAAATACATTTACTCTGTATAGATATCCTTACTGTGCAGCATTTAGAAGGAATTGGATAAATCAAATTTAGCTAGTAATTCCATTAAAACCAGTTACTTCATTAGTGACCAATAACTGCACTCCTTTTGGAGCTATTTTTCTCTTGTAAGGTTTTGTGTATGTGAATAACTATACTCACATTTCACTAACAGGGAAAATATTAATATGGATCAACTTGTACATAGGCAGAAGCCCACTTATAAAAATACATGTTTTCATGAGGGCAGTCTGAAAGCTAGCAGTTTGAAATACAACACACACATATGCAAAAAAACCCCTGTGTTTCTATGCTTATTTGAGATTGCACAGTCTAAGATCATAGAATAATAGAATCACAGAATGGTTTGGGTTGGAAGGGACCTTAAAGACCATCCAGTTCCAACCCCCTGCCATGGGCAGGGACACCTTCCACTAGACCAGGCTGCTCCAAGCCTCATCCAGCCTGGCCTTGAACACTTCCAGGGATGGGGCATCCACAGCTTCTCTGGGCAACCTGTGCCAGTGCCTCACCACCCTCTCTGGGAAGAACTTCTTCCTGATATCTAATCTAAACATTCCCACTTTCAATTTAAACCCATTACCCCTTTCCTGTCTTACCCCTTGTCCTGTCATGTAAAGAAAAAAGATCATGTAAAGGAAAAAGATTCATCTTATTACTGCAGCAAAATGTAGAAGATTTTTATGATTAAAACTATAAATGGATTTGCCAATCGACTGTCAGATCTTTTTCCCTTATTCACGTAAATCCTATTCTGTTTGTGAAGCCAGGAAGAGAATAAGCGCTCGGGCTAGAATACAGTTTTAGCTGAAGCTTGCGAAATACTCATAGGTGATCTTCTAAACACATACAGTTATGAAGGAAGCATTGATGTATTTGCTGGATTCCTCACAGTCGCTGTCCTCATCTGAGGAATCATCAGAATCATGTTCACCCTCCTTACTGCATTCATCTTCGTGTCTGATCGGTACTCGGTTAAAGTCATCTGCACGAGACAAAGTGTCACTGTTCACCCCACAGTGCTGCTCAGGTATAGCATAGGAGGGGGGCTGTCCCTGCATGTGCAGGGGGTAAAAGAGAAAGAGGCCAGTCCTTTCATAACAGACTGCAGAGCAAAGGCTAATTTATTTGAAACAAACTTAAATACTCCCAATAATTCACATTTTTTAAAAAAATCATCTCTTCTTTGTTAAAACACTGATTTTGCAGTGTTGAGAAAATTAATCAATCAAATACATCTCAGTAAGGTAATTCACTGACCTCTTTTTTTCAAAATTTAGTACATTTTCTTACAGAGGATAACGTAAAATAAGGGAAAGTTCACAGACAATACTTACATGGAATTATGTTGCCATTCCTATTTTTGCTTTTATTTTCCTCACGATTCCCAGTATTCTGTGTCCGCCATCCCTTATAGGATGGTAATCTCTAAAGAAAGAGGACGTTTGGTTGACTAAAATGGTTCCTCACATCATTGTCCCCTCTTGACACCCACACCCAGTCATCTCCCAGTGCCTCACTTCTGACTTCAACACTCTAAATTTTGGACTCATCTGGACTATAGTTTTAAAAAGCCTGCTATACCACGTACAAAGGCACCTGAAAACAGACACAAGTAATCCTTCTATGCTCCCCACCTTTGTTAAAAATATTAACATCAGAAGCAGATATAAAATTTTATTAATTTACAGTTTTTTTTCTTGAAAGTAAAGCAATTGTTTCTGTGCCAGAGAAGTAAAAGAGCACAGAAGTGATCCTTTACAAATGGCACCTCTACCTCATGACTATTACGCAAGGCACTTTCTCATGTAAGTGGGAGCTAAGGACACTAGAACACAATGCTTATTTACCTGAAACTCTGCCTCCAGCAGAGAAGGATCACTCGGAGGATCTTTTCTTTTCAGATTGTTAAGATAGGAATGCAGTTCTGAGAGACTGACCTCTGTTTCTCCATACTGATTGTATTCCACTAGTGCTTGATGGATAAGGATGTACTGTGACTGGTGTTTCCCATTTGAAGGTTTTAAAAATACAGTTATTTAGGAAGTAAAAAAAAAAAAAAAAAAAAATTTTTTAAAACCGTTATAAGAAACTATTACTCCCATGATGTTATTAGTGTTAATAATATTAAAAAAGGCATTAAATGCAAGTATTAAAACTCAGAGGGACTTCCAAATTGGGAATTTTGGAGCAAATTTAGTGTGTTAGATGAACAGTGTTCTACAAATAAATGTAATGTCATTCAAGAAAAATGCAACTGAAATTTGAAAGATCTGCAAAATGGTTAAATAAGTTAAAAACATGCATTGCATCAGTCCATAACTTTTGTTGTACCCGCAACTCAAGTGAAAATCCACCTAGACAGGCAGTTTTTAGATTTTGAAAATTAAGTTTGACAATGCAACCTCAGTTTTGCATTTGTGAATTGCATGCCAAAAGCTGGATTGTCAAATCTAAAATGTTCTTCTTGGCTTCTTTTTTTTAAAAATTGAACTTCAAAAGTTAACATTTCTAAAACTGAAAAAAAAGGGTATTTTTCTCTCAATACTTTTCAGAGTTTTATTTCCTATTAACATCCTCAACTGAAATGTAGCAGTAACCAAGACTGAGCAGCGCACTTCTGAGAAACACTGATGAAGCCCTAGCAAAGGAGAGTTCTATGTGACAGGAGTTTTAGCGAGATACCTCTACTTGAACCATGAGGCACCGCTGCCGACGCAGCTTCACAACATAGCCATAAACATCCACTCTGCCTTCTGCATCCAGCCCCTCCAGCATGGCATCAATTCCTATGTATGTTCCAGTGCGCCCAACACCGGCACTGCAAAGCACAAAGGGAGTTGGTTATCGAGAGGCATCTCCCAGACCCACTCTGAGAGGGGAGAAGCCAGTGAAAGAGCAAAAGGGAAAATGTGTAACAACAGGATATGAAGCAACAGAAAACAGTTCTTGCTGTAAATTAATTGGCAACACAAACAATGACGAGTTTGTATTTTAAATACATTTTAATGAAAGTAAGGCCAATATTGCCAAATGTGGTGCTTATAGCCAGAGTATCCCAACATTTATCTGGCTGCTTTCCAAAAGTCTATGTATCCTCAGACTTTATCCTTCAGAATACCCTTCAGAGAACAGTCCATTTTATGCATCTCTAGATGTCTCACTCTCAAGTAATCAAGTCACAAAACTTGGGATCAGCAAAATGCCTTTGCTAGCTCCCTCTTCTGCATAACTCCATGTTCATTTAACATTAAAATAATTTACAAAAAAATTATATATATATACCTGCAATGAACCACTATTGGGCCACTAAAAAAGTTGCTGAGAGCATTAACTCTGCGTCGGAGTTTGAGAAGGAGATGTGGATCCTCAGGGACTCCATGGTCTGGCCAGCTTGTGAACTGAATATGAGTGACATCTCTTCCAGCTGTCCTTTCTTTTCCCTAGACAAAGTGAAGTGTGGGTTTGTTGGGTTTTTTAAATATATATAGATATACAAAGCCAAAATCAAGTGCATATATATAAAGCAGAAGAAAAATAAGGACAACAGTCATCAAATATGAAACAGGAATTTCAAATGCTGTGCTGTAATGTTGCAATCCTAATGGTCTCTCAGGTTATGAAATTTTAATATTTAATTTTAATTAAAAAACATTCATGAATCAGGAATACAGAATTGCTTCAACAGAGGAAAAGCAGCATGTTCAAAGTATTGCTAAAAATACTTTTTTCTCAGGTTAGCCTATGATCCAGACTATAATATGTCTCCCCACTCTATTTTGAAACAACATGGCCAGTGTATAGATCCGCTGACTTCAAGAGGTACAGATTGAGAATTCTTTGTTATTCCTGCTAAGGGTATAAGAAACTAAAAAAACTAAAAATAAAACCCTAAAAACTAACCCAGACTTCTACTGTTTAGAAGTAGAAATAAGAAAACCTATGATTTTCAATGAGACTGACTCTCTTAAGTCACTTGGTTAAAGCTTAAAGCATGCCAGATCTTAAATCCTACTTTCATATGTTTCTGCTACATTAAAAGAGAGGACATACATTTTGGCAACCATGAGAATAAAACAAAATGAGAAGGACATGAGAATGAAATCTCAATGGCATTATTTTACTGTCCAAGATTTAGTATCGTTATATGGGCATTTGGCCTATAATTAACCCCCAAATTCTTTCTCAAAGTTGAATTATCCAGTTGTAGCAGTTATTCATACAGTCATTTGCCATTGTTTCAGTAACAATACAACACTATTCCACCAGAACTGCAAAAGTCTCCACTTTCTCACCAGGGACCACTCTTAAATTCCATAATCAATATCAGGTTTTTCTATATCAACATGGAAAAAATATTTTCAAGTTGGGAAATATATATCTAACTCATGTTTCTTGTAATGAATGACACCCGCATCTTAGAAGCTTTCTCGTAAACTATATGTTGCTGAAGGAAAAACAGCAGAGAATCTTCCATTCATAGCTGACTTCTCTTCTTGAAAGAATCTCTCAGTGATATCCACAGGCTCCAAACAGACACTCCAGTCCCAGTCAGTCTTACACTTTTGAACCAACTTACGTTTGTAATGTGTAGTTTCTGAATGACATAGTCCGGACAGGTTTTACTTTCATTGATTTTCACAATGATGTCCCCATATGTTGCAGAGCCATTCTCCATTGACGGCCAGTACTGGGCACATTTGTTCTACGAAAATATGAAGTTAGGTGAGCAGCACGACAGCAAAGTGGCTGAGAGCTAAAAGAAAGTCTGATTTAAAACAGATGGCAAATCAGTATCGTTTTTCCAACTTCTTGCAGGACTTGTCCTCTCTTGAAAAGGCTTTCACTGCTTAGGATGACAGTGCTAAACAATTCCAAATATCCAACAGTTCAGGTCTCTGACCTGAACTTTATGTCTATGGAATTGAACTTGGAACATAAAGTGGGGAAAAAAGTACCATACACTAGTTGAAAAAGTGAACAGCTACTATTGCTGTTGCCTGAAGTCTGTAAAAAAGTGTGCAGCTACTTTTATGGCTTCTTTTTCAGTCTTCAGTGAAGGATACCACTCCTGCTTGCCTATAACATCAATGTGGGCATGCTGTAAATCTGCATGCTGCCAACCTTTTCATCTATAAAAGCAGTTAAAACAGACGTTCTTCTTCCTGCTGTACCAGGAATAAGGAACAAAAGCAAGCCAGAAGCTCCCAACCTTTCAGTTAAGGGGATGGCAAAGATAAAAAAAAAAATAGTCTAGGGTTTACTGGGGGCATTGCCAGGAAATGAGAAGATAATAAACAGGAGACAAATGCAAACAATACCTTTTATGGCAGGTCTGTGAGGAGCTACAGTTCTACCTTGAGCCCTTTTCTGAATTTATTAGCTGCAATTTGGAAGCTCACCCTCTGCTACTTATGACTGTGACTAAAGTGAGGTTTTCTGATAAGACTGGTAGTTCCGTAAGGCAACACTATTTTGGCATGCTTTCCAACTTAGGTTCTGCCACAGTGAGAGAACAGCAAAGGATGAAAACAAAGTACTAAGAAAATGTAATTCACCACAGCACAGCAAACCATTCTGTTTTCAGAAAAAAGAAAGATGGATGGACGGATGGATATTTCTCACCCTCTTTCCTTCCTCACAGCGAGTCACCATAACAATAATTGTTGCTTTCTGCTCCCAGACCATTCTCCAGAAATCATCCGTGGTTTCATCTTTGGGGCCTAGCAGGAGATATTTTAAGAGGTTTTCAAAGAGTGCAGCTACATGAAAAAACACTTGCCTTCTTGACATGCCTAGCCATGCAGTCTGAAAGCCCAACCAGAGGTCACGCAAGTAACAGCCACACACTTGATTTTATGATGAATGCTGCCATTAAGCTACAACATTTTAAAAGTGTCATATAATTTTACACCAAGATTTTTCATATTTCACAGCTATATATATGTCATGAGAAATGCCTTCGAAGTCCAATTTATCCATCTTCACAACATTGCCTAAGCAAAACTCAATGGCAACTTTTTCATACTAAATTTTAAAATGTCTTATTTTCAATTTTTCTTTAAATTTATTAATACTTTTTTACTACTCTCTAACAAAAAATGGGTGAATAAACAAAGCATATTCTTTTAAGGTTAAAAATTACCTTGAGCAGCAATGTATTTTCTTGGTTCTTTGAAGCCCTATAAAAAGTACAATGTTATCAACTTTGAGAATTTAAAAGAATTGCAACTTCAAAAATTCATTCAATGTGCCACAGTCCAATAATATCAAATATATTACAAAGATGGAAAGAAGGCAAATGGAAATCCTCAAAGGTTTTGGATGAATGAAACGTACAGAGTATAGAATTTCTCCAATAGTGCCTAAGAAAATTTTTAAAGTAGAAGTCACCCACATCAATATAACTTGCGTTGATATAGTCTGATCCTGGGTCTCCTGTGATCTCTGAGAGCTCCACACGGTTATGGTCATCTGTTTAAATAATGTAAAACAAAATGTGATATTATCTCAAAACAATGAGAAAACAAATATTTATGCAAAAATTGTAACAAATACTCACATGGAAGGATATCAATGTAACGATTTTTGTTCTGATTATGGGTTTTTTTGGCCTCCTTTATTGAAAATTTAGTGAAAACTCTAGGAATACTCTGCAAAATACAATGTTTGCTTTATTAGGTAAGCATATATTTACGATAGTTTCTGCTTACAGTCAAACATATATGGAAGAAATTTGGTACTATTGAGTCTGGAAGATAACCTGTTTCATACAATACTACTTCATATATTTCTTATATCTAAAATAAGCAAATATACTTTCCCTTAATATAAATAATATGTCTCCACAATTATTTATTATTTATATCTCCATGGCTATGCAGCAATAGGCAGTATTAAAAATATGCATTAAAAGGTACTTTAGAATGAGAAGTATTTAGACTATGTATTTTATAGCCTTGCTGAAAAACACTCTCAGGGGGAAAAAAAAAAAAAATCATCATCTTACAATGAGGAGAGCTTGGTTGCAAAATTAACTGAAGCCTATTTGACCTTAGATTAGAATTCACTCAATTTTTCAATTTTTTTAAATTTATTTATAACCACTGAATATACTCTGTATATACACGCTCTTGAACAGAATTCTTCCAACCAGCTGGCTATAAATCTGTGGTGTATTTTGAGCCAATGACAAACCTGAAATTCATCCAAGAAAAGTCTTCCTTCATCAGCTATCTTCCTCTTGTACATGTCCAGCAATTGCTCCGAAGGTATTGGCTCTATGTTCAGAAGTTGCCTGTCATCATCTTTAACTGTGTAAATACATTGAACGTTTATTGTTACTCACTTCGAAAATGTGAATTGCATTTCGGTAAATTCTTGAATTGTCAGATAAATTAACAAAAGGACAAACCTCTTTATTTTAATTAAGAATGTTTATTTTTTAGAAAAAATGTTTCTTCCTGAGCCAGCTGTGAGCAAACGGGCCCTGGGAATAACAGGCCATGTTCAGCTCTGCTGCCTGGCTGAATGACCTCAGGAGGAGGCTGTGTGCAGAGACAAAGCATTAACAGCGCGTTTGTACAAAGCGGCCATTGCCACATCCAGGTCACAGCAACAGCTCCAATATGCACAACAGTTACATGGCCTGGCCCTCTACTTCAATTCTGATCACTTATCATCAGTGGTAAAATGGATTACTATGCAACAAACGTGTACTGCCCATTTTTCCAAATTTCCCCCAACTTATTCTCTGAGTTGCAATAATCTGTAATATCATCTTTAATGGCAAAATAATGATTGAAATAGTTTTAACATCTCTAACTAGACATTTATTAATTTTTGACTTTTTTTTTTTTTTAACAACCGTGTGTCTATGCAACTGGATTTGAATATCAACACATTATCACCTCCCATTTAATGTAGTTAATTTACGTGGGTTTGAATGTCATAAATCACTTTTTCTTGAAGCTTTCTGGTATTGACTGATTCTGTCTATCTACATAGGCTTTGAAGTTTTGCGCAAAAGGTTGTACATGTTCAGTTTCAGTCCTTGGGATTTGAAAGCCTTCAAAATTAAGCAGTAAAAAGTGACTGGCTTATGTTTAAATTCTTGCTTTGAAAAAGGTGCACAGGAATGGGAGATTCTGGATGAAGGTGATTCTGGACTTACTCAGTGTTATACATATCACAACCAACCATTGTCTGGGAAAACAAAATTGGGTTTGTCATTAAATAATAAATAAGATTTTTTTAATCACTGATAAACTTTCTGTTTATTTAAGTATATATACTTCTGTTGTGCATTTACTGAAGTGTTTGGGTTTTTTTCTCCAAATTAGGTGTTGTCATGTTGATATCTGTAATCTTTGCATACAACCTTGAATGTGGACAGTCCAAAGGTGACAGCAAGACATACAACTGATTTTATTTCCACTTGCTAAATATATAAAGATACTCACCTTCAACAAGGTTCATGCCTTCAGAAGAATTGCTGTAAGAAGCAAAAGCATCTGTAAAAGCTTTGACTATTAAGACATGTATATGATAAGGAGTAAAATAAAAGCAGTTTTTTATGTGAACACCAGGACTGTTCATAAACCAGCAGACTGCATAACAAGCTCTCTGTGAAACAAGAGAACTACAACTGGGATTTATGGGCCCTACACAGAGGTGCTTGGGATCCTTGTCTTCCTACTCGGAGTACTACTGGAGGGGAAAACAGGGAAACACATCAAACAGCTTTACTGCTTGCATAACTGTGTCCATATCACCTGCGGCAAACGTCTTTAATTTTTTCACTGGAGTGACTTGTTTTTCTTGCTAAATAAATGACAAAAAACTAACACATACATAAAATATAATGAAATTAAGTAGCCAAGAAAAGCCAGACTCTAGAGCTGTACAAGCAAAAAATTAGTTTTCCTTCCCTAAGCATAAAAGTTAACATCTGTGCAAGAGCAGCTCCCTATTCCCCTATGAAGAACAGCTGGGGAAGGAAAAGGGTTGGAAGAGATGAGTCCCCAAGTTCTGTTGTTGCCAGAGGGCTGAAAAGTCTCTGATGAAATCGCCCTAACTCCTCCATGTTGACCAGCAGCAAATGCCCCCTCACACAATGCACCACCTTCCTTCACAGCAATAGTAGCAGTCAGCCTGGCTTTCCAGGGCTCTGGCACAATTGTCAGGGAAGGCAATGACCATTCTTCTATCCCCATCCAATGACCTACCAAACTGCCAAGTCACCTGGAGAAGACTATAATAAGCAAAGCCTTTCTGAGATAGTTTTGGCTGACTAAACATTTGAAAGTATTTCAAGAAAGTGTTTATTATTTTCATTACTTTCAACTTAAGTCACAAAGAAAAGGTTTTCCAGATATTTGTGAAATTTTTTTTTTTACAAAATTAATGACAAAACATTTTATCCTAGTAGATCAGTTCTTTTTTTGAGAGCTGGTTTCCCAAGACATGGAGAAGGCCGAGGTAGTCAATGGTTTTTTGCCTCAGTCTTCACTGGCAAGGGCACAGGCTATTCCCCCAGAGTCCTGGAAGACAAGGGCAGGGACTAGGAGAATGGAGAATTGCCCACGGTCAGTGAAGATCAGGTTTGGGAACACCTGAGGAACCCAATGGTGCACAAGTCCATGGGACCTGATAGAATACATCCACAGGTCCTGAAAGAACTGGCAGATGGGGTTGTGAAACTCTGTCCATCATATTTGAGAAGTTGTGGCAGTCTGGTGAAGTTCCCACTGACTGGAAAAGGGGAAACATAACCCCCATCTTTAGAAATGGAAAAGAGGAGTATCCAGGGAACTACAGGCCAGTCAGTGTCACCTCTGTGCCTGGCAAGGTCATGGAGCAGATCCTCTTGGAAACCATGCTGAGGCACATGGAGAATGGGGAGGTGATTGGTGACAGCCATCATGGCTTCACCAAGGGCAGATCGTGCCTGATGAATCTGGTGGCCTTCTATGATGGGGTCATGACTTTGGTGGATAAAGGATGGGCAACTGATGTCATCTACCTGGACTTGCGGAAAGCCTTCAACACCATCCTGCACAACGTTCTTGTCTCTAAGCTGGAGAGACATGAATTTGATGGATGGAGCACTCAATGTTTAAAGAACTGGCTGGATGGTCACACTGAGGGAGTTGCAGTCAATGGCTCAATGTCTGAGTGGAGACCAGTGACGAGTGGCACTCCTCAGGGGTCAGTGTTGGGACCGGTGCTATTTAACATCTTCATCAGTGACATAGATGATGGCATCAAGTGCACCCCCATCAAGTTTGCTGATGACACCAAGCTGTGTGGTGCAGTCGACATGCTGGAGAGAAGGGATGCCATCCAGAGGGACCTGGACAGGCTGGAGAGGGGGGACTGTGCCAACCTCATGGAGTTCAACAAGGCCAAGTACAAGGTCCTGCACATGGGTTGGGGAAAACCCAAACACAAGCACAGGCTGGATGGAGAATGGATAGAGAGCAGCCCTGAGGAGAAGGACTTGGGGATGCTGCTGGATGAAAACCTGGACATTAGCTGGGAGTGTGCATTGGCAGCCCAGAAAGCCAACCATAGTGTGGGCTGCATTAGGAGATGTGTGGCCAGCAGGTCGCAGGAGGGGATTCTCCCCCTCTGCTCTTGTGAGACCCCACCTGGAGTACTGCATCCAGCTCTGGGGGCCTCAGCATAACAAGGATACTGACTGGTTGGAGAGAGTCAATAGGAGGACCACCAAGATGCTCCGAGGGCTGGAGCACCTCTGCTATGAGGACAGGTCTGAGAGAATTGGGCTTGTTCAGCCTGGAGAAGAGAAGGCTCTGCAGAGTCCTTATAGCACCTTCCAGTACATGAAGGGGCCAACAAGGAAGCTGGGGGGGACTTTTTACAAGGGCCTGTAGTGACAAGACAAGGGGTAACAGGTTTAAATTGAAAGCAGGTAGATTTAGATTAGATATCCAGAAGAAATTCTCCACAGAGAGGGTAGTGAGGCACTGGAACAGGTTGCCCAGAGAAACTGTGGATGCCCCATCCCTGGAAGTGTTCAAGGCCAGGCTGGATGTGGCTTTGAGCAACCTGGTCTAGTGGAAGGTGTCCCTGCCCATGGCAGGGGGGTTGGAACTAGATGATCTTTAAGGTCCCTTCCAACCCAAACCGTTCTGTGGTTCTATGATTTTGTGCCCCGAGAAAGGCTATAATGAGATATTTTAAATTTATTTCATTGTATTTGCATTGCCAAACAAACCACCAAAAATTGAGTTTCTTTGAAAGGATTAAAAGGTAAAAGATGTCTTTTCCCAGTATTTATGAAATACCAAACTTGTAACATTTTTGCACTACCCATTGGGAAATCTTGTGGAAAAACAGAAAGGCTTTCCTCCCACCATTTATGTAAGAGAAACATAAAGCTTACCTAAGCTTTTTTTTGTGAAGATCATAGATTTTGTACAGAACCAGTAGTAAAGCAATTGATGTCACAACGATCAAGAACGCCAAGAATATAATCAAAGCTTTAGAATTATCTAGCAACAGAAAAAGAATAAATTCTTATTTCTTGAACACATAATTAATGGCATTTAATTTTTTTTTTTTTAAATCTGTATACTTCCTAGAACTAGGGCTCACTGATTTTTTTTTGTGTGTGTGTGAAAAGAACTAAACAATTATTTTTGAGTGTTAAGTTTAAGTTTTTTATTCCAAAGTGCCAAATATTTTTAAACTCATGGAAGAGAAGGGAATTTTATTTCTTCGTTAAGTAAATTTTCACTTCATCTCCACATGTCCACCTGTCAAAGTGCTACAACTCACTCACTGGTTCAGCATTACTATGGTTGCCCCCTGCTCTGTGTGCTCTGTACACCTGAGCAATGGAGCTCTCAGCTGCTCCTGATGTGGGAGTTAGGAATCCCTGACAAGTCACAGATGTTCAGCTCCTGAAACACAGGATCTGAACACAGGAAAATAATCCTTAAGTGAATAATTTCTGCTACAGAAATTAATTTTAATTTCTACTTGAATTTGAATGTTTCCTGAAGAAACCACAGCTGTGTAATAACTCTGTATTATGGTCAATGACTCGTCAACATGATCCGTTAGATTTATGCTGAACAAGGATATTATTTTTTCAAATGCAGATCAATTATTAACTATAAAAACAGGCAGTTTGGATTTTCAATTAGGAGCAATTGTAACGGAATTCACAATTTACAATATCATTCTATATTATGCTAAAGTCTAGAAGTAAAAATGCTGTGTATATTTACTTACATCTGGTTCTTATACTCTGCCTTACTGGCTGCCCTCTATAGTCTCCGTTAAAGACTAAGATCTGTATGCAGTGGGTGAAAACAATAGAGATGTTAATATATAACAAGTAAAAATTTCTGCATGAAATTATTTTAAAAGCAAACCACAATGGATATTTTAAATACATTTATTAAATGTATTAATAATGTATTACATTTAAATTCATTTATTTTCAATGAATCAACCTCATTGACAGAAGGATTTGTTGTCAGTCTTTGTACAGCCATTTATAGTGCAGCTCAGGTTTCCACCTAAGATATAGCAATATTTACACCCAAAAATATGTAGATGACAAGAAAAAAAAAAAGTTAGTGAAATAGGAGATACATTTTATAAAACCAAATAAAATGCATTTCAAGGAAGAAGTCAAATCTCTCTCTTATCAAATGGAAAGCAAATCTCTCAAATCTAAAAAATAACCATGCAATATGTAACAAAACATCATCATATTATTTGCTTCAACAGTAAATATACAAATAGTCAACTGAATTGGATATTTTTAATACAGTTTCCTGTATGGGAATTAATTCATAAGAGGTTAAATTATAGAAGCCAAAATGAACTTTTAAATAAGCTGCTTTCTTGCAACACTAACTTTTCGGTACTTTAACTGTTGTTAAAATATGTTGTTTAAATGTTTTTATATTTCATAATATATTTTATATTTATCCAATCTTATACATTTCTTTAATAGAAATTCCTATCAGATCAAATGGGAAGTTTGTACATCAAATATTTCACACTTTTCTTGTGAAGAAACATTAATTTTATGATTAAACTTAAATATTTAATACTAAACAGTGCAGAATACTAACAAGATTGAGTAATAGTGATTTTAGTAGTAATATTATCCTGCTTCAAAGTATCCAAAAGGGGACGAGAAGGGCTTTCAGCACCATTGCTGACCACAGGCTGAGTTCTTCCTGAGCCCCCTCATATCCCTGAAGAGAAACCTTTCCTGAAGACACAGAGGATTGTTCCCCAGCTCCCATCTACTGCTCTAAAAGGCTGATGTGTTCAGGGTGTTGGTGGTTTCTGAATCCTGCATCTGGGAAGAAAACCTCTGGCAACATCCAGAGGCAGAGCAGAGGTGGCAGAGAAAACAAGAAAGAAGCTTCTCAAATAGTGAAAGGCAGAAACGTAGTGCAGCAGTTGGGGTCAAAATATCCCTAAACCAAAAAGTACAATGAGTAGGGTCCTGGTTATTCCCTGAACAATTCCATGTGCAGATAGAAGGGAATTGTGACATCTGCCAACTCTCACAGGTGTTCTGTTTTTTCTTGTGCCTTCCATAACTTGTCTCAAAATTCTTTCATTACTATTTAAGGCCAGAAGGTTTTCTCTGTTTTTCCAATAAGAACTGGGCAAAATAATTTTGAAGCAGAAGCCAGGGTTTAGAGCCAAGGAAAAGACAATTTCTTGTATAAGGCAAACAGCTCCCTGCAAGTGGTGTACAAAAAGCTTACAAGAGTGCAGAGATGTCGTACTATGAGTCAATCCAAGCATGGTTTGCTCCTACAGAACCACATAGTTATTTTCCAAATTCAAAGCTTTCTGAGCAGAATCTGTCAGAAAAAAATGACAAAAACTTGGAACAAAACTTAAGACTCCTCCAGTTCTCTGATACTGCATTTCATCAGGAAGCAACAGAGGAAAGAGGCAAAGATTGTGGAAAATGAGTGAAGCTGATTCCTAAAAGTAATAAAACCCCATCCTTCCTACTGGTCATGTTCTTATCCAAAATTTATTGAGAGGAGCTATCAGTATATAAAAAATATTCTTACTAGCCACAGTAAGGGGGATTACGCAAGACCATTGGCTTTGTAAGCAACAAATGCCAAGAGTAAAATGCCTGAAAGAAGATAAAATAGCAGACCTACAGGAAAGTGAAGCTTGTAAACAGAGGATGATATATTTTGTATGGAAACAATGACTGGCTTGTAAAAGGCTGATGTAAGGAAGCATCAAAAATCTTCACAGTGAAAAATTCTGAACAATTATCTCAAGACTTCAATCAAATGTGGTTTAAACACTAAAATATCAGTTAAACTATTTTAAAACTTATGGAACCCACAATTTCTCTATGTCTCAAGACCCAGGTACACTCTATTCAGTTTGTATTTTTCATGCTATGAGAACCTTTGCGTAACAGCGCACAAGGGATTGACTGATACACTAGACACATACAGATATTATTTCCAAAGTAATAGCTACTTCTTTACATCTGTGAACTACAGATCCACAGATTAACTCCTCTGCCATCATGTTTGCCTTTTTTTCCTAAAGATCATGTATAACATGCTTAAACAATGAAAACAGAGCAATATTTTATATATTTAATTTAATAAGCCGACTTACCTTAAACGTATAGTTTGTCAAGTACGAGAGATTTTCTTTAGTAAAATCACAAGTATTTTTTCTGGAGTCTGTTGTTCCATCATTTTCCCAAGTCAATTCAAATATTGTTTTTCCTCCACGGACTTGTTGACTTTTGCACTTAATTTTGACAGCATTATCGGCTGTCAGCGTTGCATTAACATCAATCACTGGGTCTGGTTCTGTTCACAAAGGCGGTGTTATTGGTTCTGTTCTTATCACTTCAAACCAAACATGTCAACAGCTGTATGTGTTCATGTCTGATTGTTATTATTTCTCTTAATAATTTCATACATTTTGTCCCTTTAAAATTTTAGTCCTGATCAATTTTGAGTTAACCATAGGCTTATCTGAACTGGAAAAGATGTGAAATGGAACAGAAAAGGCTGGGAAGATCAGAGCTCTACTGACAATCAGGCTGCAAATATAATCTGATGGCAACTACGTCTTTTGCATCTGACCTCACTTTCTGATTTAAGGAACACGGGAGAACAGACAAGACAGGAACAAACAGTTTTCTGTGTGACTGTATGTTTCAAAACTTCCGTAAATTAAATTTCCTACCAGGAGTTACTAGTCTTTTCGTATTTGGAATAGTATCCTTTTGTCACTCTGTCTTAAAGCTGGCCTAAAACCACAACAATTTTTTACTTCTTAATTATAAGGAATCTGTTTAAATTAATTTCTAACTCTATGTATGTATGTTGTAGCAAATGGGTTTCAGACTGGAGGCACAGTGCAAGGGACCTTTCATAAACCTCTGTGTAAGGCAGCCTCACTAGCCACATTTCAGTAGAGCACCACCATGGATATTTTCTTCCAAAACTTCAATTTGCAAGCTAGCATATTAAAAAAACAACAACAACAAAAACCACAGTTGCTTTGCTCTTCATATGCAGAGCTAAGATTTTAGAGGTTTTAGGAGCAGATCAAATATCCCATGTGGGGAGTGGCCAGATATTTTACTTGGCTGAGCAGGTAGTTATGACTTATCTGCTCATTTTTATCCACACAGCAGATTTGTTAGATTTCTGTTCAGCATACTACTGAACGAGCTGTGACAAGGAGAAAGTGAGCATTTCTGGAGGTGATGTGTTTGTCGATGAAAAATTATTTTACAAAATGTAAGGTTTTTTCTACTTCCAAGGAGTTGTGCTCTACTGATATACTCTCTTGTTCAAGAAGCCATAAAACGCCTCCAATATCTGCTTGATCATGTTATCGACTGTTGTTAACAGCTGGAGAAGGTTTAATAAATCCCACTAATCCATGAAAGCAAGCAACTTGTTATTTTCTCAAAAAATATGGGAACTGAGGTTGTTTTCCAGACTCGCAAACTTAACATTATGGATTGTAATCTTCACCTGAGTTATTAAAATGAAGGAAGCACCAGAAAGTGGGAGTTCCAAAATATAATATGCTCAAACCAGATTATCATAGAGAGAAAAATCATGATCATGCTCAAATTAGGGCTATCTACACATTAAAGACATTTTTCAATCTCTGTTACAGTTAAGTCTCAGATCAAAGGGTTTACCATATCAATGAATTCATTTACCAGCTTTCCCTCCTCCCCCCCACCCCACCCAATGGGGCTTCAGGTGATAATTTTGATCCTTCTATTCTTCTAACTATAAACTATGTTAGCTCAATGACCCAGAGTAATAGGAAGATTCCAGTGTTTTCATGGACTGTTTATAAAACTGGATTCAAAAGATCGGTATATTCCACAGAGAGACAGAATTCAGATTCAAAACAATAGTCTGCTAGAAGCCCCTGTATTTCCCCAACCTCTACAAAAACACATTTAATAAAACAGAAGTCAGATCTATATATCCATTATATATATATTATATATCCATTTCTAAATACTTTTCAAGAGTGCTAAAGCTACAAAAGGATTTAATTATTCCTGCTATTAAGGAAAAAAAAAAAAAGAAGCACCATTTTAAACTACCATTACATCATTAGCACAAAAAATAATATTTTATTTTTCACTAAAAGAAATATTTTGCTTATTTAGTGGAAATAAAGGAAATATTAATTTAGTATATTATGAGATAGAAACCATCATAGTTTCCCTATAGCCATTTGCCTACATTAACTGAGTCTGAAGGTGGTGGAATTAGAGGTAAAAATGTACTGGAAGAAATTAGATAAACATGGGAGTTTTCAGCAAGTTTTTTTGGGAGTTTTATTGGGTTTTTTTTTCCCTTAAAAACTCCTCAAAGATGGAATTAAAACAGTATGAGTCTCTACATCTGAGGATTTAAAAAAAAAAATTAAAAAAAGGACCGTGTCTCTACTGCACCTTGTCTGCATCTGCAAAATATCTGGTTTGGTGGTTTGGGGGTTTTTAGCTTTTCTTGTAGTTCTATCAATTGAACATGAATGGCAAAAAAAATCATCAGGACTACAGGGGTAAGCTTTGGAAAGTCTAGCTGCAAAAAGGTGCACTGGCCTTTCTGACAGCTGAAGGGTTGGCACACATTTGGCTTGAACCCAGTGTGGAGCCTTAGAAGCCAACTGCGTACATGAACATCCAAAGGAACCAAACCAGTACAGACATAAGTACTGGTGTAGCCTGGGTACTGGTGGTCTGCTTTGAGCAAACAGCCAACTAGAGAACAGAAGGAACATTCTGCACATCTTTGTAGCTTTCATGCCACAAAGAAAAAAATAATATCTTCATACTCTTTTTGCTTAATTTTGAATCTTTTCTTTATATTGGGACATAATGCTTTCTAAATTCTTATCAAGAATTTCAAACAAATGCAGGGTTTTTTTAATGTAGTATATACAAGAACACTAATACTAAATGCATAATTAAAAATAGATTAACATTAATTAATTAAAAAGAAGGACTAATGGTATGAATGAACATTTTTTTAAAATGTTAATTGGTTTCTTGGCTAATACTAACGACATATATAATATATATGTAAATGTATTATGAAGTACAATAAGAAAATACATCTTCCCTGTGTAGTATGATACGTGTTCAGAACAGTTAGCAAACGAGACTTACCTGCTGATTTTGTTGTAAAGTTACATCTTTCAGTTTTTCCCATAAGCAACGAACCATTATATCTGCTCTTTGTAAATGCAGTAACACTTAGAAAACCGTTGTGATAAGGTTCTAATTCACGGCAAACAAAGTTAGTCATGTTTTGAGGGTTTTGTTCTTTAAGAAAAAATGAAAAATGAAATTAATAAAGTTTATGTTAGGACCACAGGAACTCTTACACTTTATAAAACCTACCTGAAACCACTGTCATGTACTTATGTTTTAATTACCCTGTACTTGTTTGGTTTGTCTTGTTTACTAATGCAAAGTGGAGGCTCAGGAAAAGGAAGAAATATATTCCCCAATCAAAAAGGAAGAAAGTAGAGGTTCTGTCCACTTGTGTTTTTTAATTTCTCAGTGTGTCATTTAAATAGGTGTAATTAAAAACTTACATAAAGCACACTGATAAAGAGAGGCTGGTACTTTTTTCTGTGTTGAGCTTGGGAAGGGGTCAGTAGGCAGATGTCAAAGGACTGGGCAAGTCTGCTCTGGTATGACACGAGAGATGTGTGCTTTCAGGACAGAAAAGAACTGCATGAGAAGCAAAATGAGCTAAGCTATTACCCACACTGCAGCTGAGGCTTTGGTGGTCTGGGGAACTGGGGAGCAATGGCCTTTCCATGTTTCCTTCTGGCTTCCTTCCAGATGTGACCTCCCCAAACCCCAGCACACCACCTCAGTCTCCTACACTGGCCAAGCCAGACCAACCGCAGAAACGGGTGCATGGGGCTGCATTGGGCAGTACACAAATTTGGGACACGGAGAATGAGGGAGATTATTTGTATCTAGAGAGCACATGAGGATGACAGCCTTTGGTTCCTACGGTAGTCCAGGTTTACAAAACATGCAGTATGTGAAGAGAAAGAATTCATTAACCCAGAACTAACTTAAACCTGACATCTATTTCCTGAAATCATCTATCAAGCTCTATTTTCAAAACATAATTTTCGCTCCTTGTTTTGAAGAAAAGCTCACACTTGGAAAACATGATCCCAGTATAACAGATACAGACGTATCCATCTAAATGTGTATATGCTAACTGCTGTACTTAGGACCCCTGACTTTTACCTAGATTGTTGTTATTCAGGAGGCAGGTTCTTATATTCTCAGAGACTATATTAGCCAGCTATAGACACGTTTTCTGAGACAGAGCACCATGCTACAAACTGATGATCTTGTCAGATGATCTTGTCAGAACTTATTCTTAATACAAGAAGCATGAGAACTGAAGGGTGACAGAGCTGGGGCCTGAAATATCAAACTGAATAACCATATGGTTCAACTGGAATAACCTCAAAGGAAAGAAACCTATACATTTGTACCAAAAAAAAAAAAAAATCTGCACACTTTGAAGAGATTCCTATATGGTTTGACAGTGTGTCATGCTGGGTGTTCTATAAATACCTGCAAAATTCATGCAATTAGTTTTTCAGTACTGAAGGGACATATACTTACCTACGTCATTGCATGAAACAATATAGCCATGTATAGGACCCTTTGAAAGGTTACTAGGTTCCTTCCAACTGACTGATACATTTGTGGCATAAGAATGTACTGTAAGGTTTTCTGGTGCTTCTGGAGCTGTTGTAAAAGAAAAATAACAGGGAGGGAAGAAAATGTTTGAATGAAAATGCAAAATATTCCTCTTTTTACCTCCTTTGATTAAATTTTCATTAGATACTAAAACAAGATACCAACAACGTAATATTTTTCATAGTCTATTTCATTTGCAGAAATTATATATAAGTATAAACTGAGTATATGTAAAAGCATCATATTAGAGTAACTTCATAAATTTAATTAATTCAGGACAAGGTGAATAGAGCAACACCACATATTACTAAAATTATCCAACATTTCCAAATATTATAAAGAAAACAAAACACTGTATAATTTTAACAAATTTTAAAATTCTGGTAAAACATTTAATTTGCATATTACTTGATCTAGGTTGATTTCCTTTTTAATTCAGGGGGGAAAAAAAAAAAAGCTATTTCCAAGGACAGTGTTATGGAAAAACACATTATTTTATCTGGAGCTATTGTTTGCAATTATTCTATCACATCTTTCTTCAAATCAAGAATTTAACTTTTGGGGTTTTTCTATTAACTTTTTTTTTTTTTTTTCCATTCAAACTTCCTTACATTTGGATACATTGGCATTACACTTACCACCATAATCTGTTGTTGTGGAGAAGGTTTTTTTGACTATCTTGTCAAAAACTTTTATGGTACCAGTGCAGTTGTACTCCCTGTTACGTGATAAAGTGCCCATCTCTGTGCAAGTTTGATTTAATTTTGTAGAGAGTTGTAAACCTGTAGATAAACCTGTAGATAAATCTGTAGACACAGAGTTTTATCAATATTTTTTCACAACTCCAAAAGTACATGGTACCATTTTCTCTGCCATATTTATTCAATATGATTTGTAATAAACTATCATAATATTGCAAACAGAAGGTGCGCATCCTAATCCAATGGCCACATTTTAGGTTCTTTTGTACTAACTTAGTCTGCATAGATCTTTACTTTCTTCTTAACTCTTCAGCTCCCCGAAATGTGTAATCTCCAGCCACAGACTTTCTTCATGCATATTTCTGGGATGCATGAGGACATCCAGCATCCCTATCTTCCCTACAACACTAGATGCATTTGAGCCAGCATCACCTCAGGCTGTCTGACTCCAAGAGCAGAGCGCCTGGACTCTCGTGATCCAGGAGCCTGCAGAGCCAGCTGCCCAGGTAGTCTGCGAAGGATCAGCTCACAGCAGACCCATGAATTACAGAATTTCCAAACTCTCAGCTCCCCTTCAGACCATAAAGCAGGACCTGAAAATCTTCAGATGTCTGCAATTTGTGAAGGTGGTAGACTCAGGAATTGAGCTCTCTGGGTTTGAACTTTCCCCAGATCATCACTGAGTGGGGATGGTTGTCCCCAACGTGGCGATCCCAGAAATTCTGAACAGCTCTTCCCTCAAACTGATGCAATTCATTTAAATTTGTCAGTCTCTCATCAAAAGACAACATTGACATTGCCTTTTAAAATAGATAGATGATAAATAGATAATCAACTCCTAAAATATCTTAGAAGCATCTTACCTTTGCAGCTAACAGTCACATTAGCACAAGTAAATGAGTTTTCCCAACATAATTCTTCAGATGTATCGGTTTTACTGTCTTCGAAAAGATTCTCACTGATATCTGAAAAGGATTAATATTATATGTCACGGTGACACTGGCTATATTGATTCTTTAAATAGCAGTTTGTTCTTTTGTATTTGTTGACTTGTTCTGCAATATGAAGATACAATTGGCACAGAATAATATAGAAAAAATTTAACAAGAAATGGAAAGTAAAAATTGAAAAAGCCTACATGAAATAAATACATTGTTGGTATTCAAATAATAAACAAAACTTTTCATCCAATAATTGCTTAAGTGAACAAAACATCCAGCAGAATTCCAGCTTTGAAGTGCTGGCTGGTCTTGCTACTGCAAACCATGCTGAATACGGTCAATGTAGTTAAAGTTCCCATTTTGCCTTTACAATGAGAAAACTACATTTTTTTACTTTCTACTTCAAGAAAATACTGACAGGTTTTAAGGTTCAACTTAAAAATGCAAAATATCTTGCAAACCAAGAAAAAAGTGTGAAAACCTTCTGTCTCGTTCTCTGAAAAGAGATAAGAATAGACTAAGAAATCCAAGAAAGCTAAATTAAACTTTGCCAAAAAAAAAAAAAAAAAACCAAAACAACCCAAAACACCACACACCTTCTATACTTACCAGGCCCAATAGTAAGATTGGTAAGAATGCCTGGGCAATTTTTGGTTGTAACTCTGTATACACGGCATCTCTGAAGTGTTATTGTATAGGTGCTGGAATCCGCAGTTATGTTCTTGTTAGCCTCCAAAATAAAATACTCCCTGTTTTTTCTGAGATTTTTCAATGTAACTTCAGCCATGTTACTGTTGTTTTTTACACTACTTATACTGTAGTTAATACGATCATCTAAGAGAAAAACATAAAATAGCAAACATTGATTTTATGACTATTTATGAACCATTAAATGTTTTATGGCACAACCAGCATCATATGTTTTAAGAATCAGAAAATACAGCAAAATTAGCTACTTATTAATCTTTATTTTTAAATTTTATTTCTTTTACTTTAAAAATTTTTTTAGCCGAAACAGAAAATTTCCTTAGGAAAATATTCTTTTAAATAATTAGCTAGGAAAACTAAAGAAATAAACGAACATTCTGGAACCAGATTTGCTTTAATTTAAAATGTCAGTTTAAAGTGAAATACTGTCTTGAGACATTAAATTATTTGTTTGAACAGAAATTTCAAATTTCTTTATTCAAAACATTCAATAACCATCTAGTAAATAATGGCTATAGTCTATTCCTGAAAATTAGAAATAAGTCATCCCTAATTCTGAAGACAGATAAACCAATTTCCATACTTAAATGTTACTTTAGTTATGAATTGCAGTTAGCAGCATGTGATTATCAGCATGATGGGGAAAAATTAGAGAAGGCCTAATGAAGGCATATCTTTTCTGCAGCCCTGATCAACTGCCTAGTGCAGAGCAATTTAACACACCTGTAAACAGAGATAAGACCAGACATGTTAACAACTTTAATTCTACTCTTCCAGAATTGGAAGACAGTTTATAAAATAACCTGAGATGCTGACTGATCAGTTTTACTGATCAGTTTTCTGTGTTTGAGTTTACTGATTTGGTCAAATTTCAGTAATGAAAAATAAGGGGTTCGGTTCTTACCACAAGGTTCTTCAGTTGTCACTGTGGGAGCTCCTATAAGAAAGGAAAACAAAATGAAGGTGTAGCTCAGCAGGTTTGGGTTTTTTTTTCCACAGGGCATTGGAGGAGGGTGACTGGTATTTCCCAAAACTCTTCATTCAATATATTCAATACAAGTAATCATATTTAACTCTCCACTCACATTTGAAAAGGGAAGAAACATCAGTTACATATAGCCCAATTTTTTAACTGGTTATTTTAGGGATCATGTGTCTTTCAACATTTACTACAAGTCACACTGATTATTAATAACATTCCTGCATACAAAATTACACAAGAATATTCCAAGATCATACATTCTCGTAACATTATGATAAGCTGTAGCAGTTCCTCAGGATATGTACGCTGTGGAATGGCTAACTGAACATTGTCACTGATCCAATGTCACGAAGGAAACAAAATTTACCTACTTTTTGCAGAGCTACTCTTATCTTTATAAAGAGATTTATGCAACAGTACAGATCGTTTTATAACAGTTTTCACACTAAAATACACAAAAGAAATTTTTGAGCTAGCATTTAGAAAACCTGTAGAGAAGCTTGGACAAAGGACTAAATCCTCAAAGCAATTATTTAAAATATTCTAAGGTACACGTATACCAGGAGAGATCAATATCTAATAGTTTTCATAGAAGATAGGTCCTAAATTTGCATCCCTCCAGGCTGGGAGTCATCCAGCTAAGTAGTCCCCCTAATGAATGAGTAAACTGAGAGAGTCCAGTGGAGAATTACCAAGATGGTTAAGGGCAGAAGACCCACAGGTAAAAGCTAAGCTCAGTCTGTCAAAGAGCTGACAGAAGCCTACAGCTATTTGAAGGGCAGTTGCAAAGATGGTAAGAGTTCAACTCCTGCAGTTATTTTGCTCAAGCACACATATATATTTTACTGACCTGAGTAATTCCTTAGAGCCCAATTGCAAAAATAATGTGTGTAAGTGCTTGCAATATTAGATGCGAAGAAAATGTTAATGCTGAGGGAAACAAAATGGAAGCTATCAGAAAACAGAGAAGGACACAGATCTGTGGATGCATTCATACTTTTTTGCTACTTGGGCAAATTTCTGTGAATATCAAGAGGAGTACTAAAACAGTAATTGACAGATTTACCCTCCTACTATGCCACTGTGTGAAAATAATTTCTATTTTTCACTTGCTTGACAAATAGCAAATCTGATATCTAATATTACTCAAACTATTAAGAAGATTCCTAAAAACACACTTAAGTTTCATGCAGTTGTATACTTAATTTGTATACTTAAGTTTGATAAAAGAAATCCAAAATTAATTCCCTCATTTTAACACATCTTCTATTCTTCCAGTACCATAATTGTGATAACTGTGTGCAAGTTTGTCACCTATGGTGTGAGTGTGGAAGATCCCAGTGTTTGCTGGCATGCTGACTGGTGAGATGGTGCTGTGCAAGGATGTTGTTTTTTTTTAAATAAACAACATATCAGCATCAAAAATAAAATTCATTATTTCATATGGCTATGTCATCAAAAATGTTTTACACTACAGCCCTTCACTTGTTTTTTTTTTTTTCTTATGGGACTTTGGTAATTTAGAGTACTGAAAGAAAAATCATGCTAATGTATCCAATAAAACAGAATGAGTATTTATATAGAAAGCAAACTTTTAGGAATATACCACTTACTAATGAATTTTGCAATGTACAAGGACAATATTTTTGGCCATTATTTAGGCATAATCCAGGGTGGAGTCAACATTAAAAGGGCATTAATAATTGTGAACTGGGACAAACTAAGAGATTTTGCTATGTTCTTACAGTAAAACACAATTATGTGCTTTTTCAGAAACAAGCACTTCAGTTGTGTTCATTTGCCAGATCACATACATTGCTCACTATATTTCTTATATCTCAGTATTTATGTCCCGGCTTATAAACCACTGACACATTCTCTTTTAGGTCCATTCCTCTTGTTTTTGTTTTGGCAATAGACTCGCTGACAGCAGCCAGCATTTGGATACTACTGTGATGATTACAAGACTTGGCCATCAGATACAAGATCCTGGAATTGCCATTATGCCAAATTGCAGATACCTTTTCTACCCAATGAACCATAAAGCTGTAGAAGGCTACCCTGGGGCTGAATTACTTAGTTTTCCCCTCCAGTTCAGAGAGCAATGAGTGGAATGTAAAGGAAGACAGCAAACCTGATGAAGCATTCTCGAAGGCAAAGGGAGTGCGTGTGGTGAGGGCAGCAGTGCTGCTGCTTGGTGGGTTGCTGAGTCCCATGGCAGGGACAGAGCCTGCATGCGGGGAGAGGTGTGTGCTGTCTGCAGGAGAGACACCTGTGGTGAGAGGTACAGCAGCTTAATTAACACATTGGAGGCTGCACACAACACAGGACTGCTGTGCTGGAGCGCTCTCGTACTGAGGCACTGTGAATTTGTTAGTATGTAAAGGCACACCGAATGCTCAAGGTGTTAGGGAGTCCAACAGGTATCAGCTGAACATCCAGTAAGTATAATCCTTTTTGGTGCTGACCACGCTAAATGCTGTGGTTTAAAATACACTCAAATTCAGGACTCAAAACCAGACTTGTCTGATATTCTTGCCTCTTAAGACACCATATTTCATTTCACTGGGCTGAATAAAAAGGCGTTACGCGCTCTGCAAGGTAACTGTGCACAGGAAAAGGAAAGAAGAAATTAGCAGAAAAAACAAACATGAATACAGTCCTACCATATAAATTAAAAGTTTCTTACCAGTTGTAGTTATTGCTGTCTCAAATCCTTAAAAACAGAAGGAGAGAGAGAAAGCGTAAATTAAACTTTTAAGGAATTAAACACAATCACATGCCAAAAACATAAAAAGAAACATTCCTTCCTCCCAACTATCTTATGAGCTTTCCCCAGGAGTTACACATTCTGAAGTAATATTTAGTGACATATTATAGCAACAACCAGACTCCCAAAACATTATGCATATGATATGTGGACTGATATTGTCCACATTAAAAATCACTTTTTCTTGAGCCAGGTGTCAGTGCTGTGCAGCCAGAGCGATGGAGACAGCATCAGCAAGGCTGGGGTGGATGCCAGTTCAGCTGAAACAGGAGAAGAGCAGCAATGCCAAAGTACCAAATTCACCGTTACCTTCATTGGTGCCTGGAGGTGGGAGTGATGTGGAGCGTGCAGGTGGAGGTGATATAAGGGAGGGAGTGCTGGTGTTGCTGAAGGGTGGGGAAAAAATATCATCAGGTGAGCAGTGCATGAAGGTGAGAAGACCACTGCAAGCAGAAAGACTGCCAACTGCTCTCTGAATTATTTTTCTCCCTCCATCACTGGCAAAATGAACACATTTACATTGCTCTTCAGTTCCTGCACAGGCTGTGCAACACATCTCCTTGGATTTATTGCAAGTGCATAGCTGGTGGTTAGGTCTGCCAGACCACTAATTCTAAATTCCCACCAAGTTGTCTGGGATGTCTTTGTGGCAAAGAGATTTGATCATCCTTTAGCAAGGTGTGGGGGATGCACTGATTTCAGGTGTTTGAAAACACCAGCTGAAGGAGGTGACTTAATGTGCAGCTTCCAAAAAGCCCAGACTAATTGGGATGGTTTTGATTTGTATTTTTGATCCAGGAAGGTCCCTTTTCCCACAATCATCAGATACTTCTGTGGTGCACAAGGAACTCTGTATGAATTGCAGGGAAGTGCCACTATGACAGCTCAGCATGAAACTCTCATCTGAGAGCTCAAGGGGAAGAGGTGTCCCTAAGAAAAACGTGAACGCATAAGAACAGCATGTTATAGCTTGAATTCTAATCACTCTCTTTGAAAAGTGTGTTTCAAATCCCCACCTTTGATTTTATTAAAATAAAAATACTAAATATGTCCTCATGACATTAACAAATTTTTCTGTAATATAATTGACCTCAAACAATGTAAGTCACCAGATTACTTTAATCGTGATGGAGTTAACCAATGTATGATAGAAGTAGATGCCAGTTCAGCTAAAACAGGAGAAGAGCAGCAACGCCACAGTCCTGAATTCACCATTGCTTTCATTGGTGCCTGGAGATGAGAATGATGTGGAGCATGCAGGTGGAGGTGATATAAGGGAGGGAGAGCTGTTGTT